TAAGCACAATGCCTGTTGTATCTGTATATTAGCAAGTAAAAAGGTCAGATTGTTGACAAATATTTATCCAAACAGACACCTCAAAATGTTAAAAACAGGTATGAACATCTGCATATCCTGCAGAAGATTTACGTGGGTTCATCATTAAGTTTATCAAAACGAATTCCTTCACGGTATCCATAATGATGGCTCAGTGATGATACGTTCACGATTCTCCCCTCTGTGTTGCTTTCTCGCGATGTGCTTTTCATGGTCTCCAACAAAAGATTTGTGAGAAGGAAATGACCTGCACATTTGATGGTTCAAGAAACAAATAGATTGGTAAAAGAAACTTGTATGAAACTGATCAGTAGGCAGGCTACAGTTCAAAGCAATTTTTAGGTAACAAACCTAAATGATTCGTTGCGAACTGGAGTTCTATACTGTCTTGAGAAAGTTTGAATGGTGTCACTCCTACCCCTGCATTGTTACTTCCAACAAAGAAGAGATTGTATTACTTCTTATTGCCATAGTATGAAATAAAGACATATTAGCTTCATATAATAAAGTAAATATGTTACAAACCACACACAACAAAAAAGAAGGAAATTGGCGTTTGCTTTTCTTACATAAGGATGTTCAATGGAAGGCCTGAGGAACGATAATCTGCAGCAAATTTTCTTACAGATGAGAATGAGCTGAGGTCTAACTCCCTGACATCAAGTTTAGCATTGGGAATTTCTTTAAGGATTACTTCTTTGACATTCGCCCCAGCATCGGTGTTCCTTACAGCCATAACTACATGGACACCGCGCAATGCAAGAACACGCGCTGTCTCTACACCAATACCACTTGAGGCTCCTGAAATTGAACAACCTTACCTTGAGAAACACACAGAGGAAGGCTCATTGACATGAAAATTAAGAAACAAAACTGAAGGGTCTTGCTATACTTGCTATACATATATGAGAAATAATAGACATCGCATATCATAGAAGAAAACTTATAGAAGAAGCCATCTTAGTTTCATGTTTTCTTGGTCAACAGCTTAATTTCATTTAGATTTGGAATGATAAATGATCATCCAAGAAACTAAGAAAAGTACTTGAATATAAAAATTAAAAATACAAAACCCATTGGAACTCAGTATGTATATATCACCGATCTTCTAAATCATTTTCCCATTTTTACATGAGAAAATCCTTTATCAGATTTATAAAAAAAACAATTCATATATGAAGCTTAAAACATAGAGCATGATGACCTGTAACAATTGCAGTAAGACCAGGTCCATCAATCCCTTCAGTAACTTCCTCTGCTGTTGAAGAGGCAGAGAACCCAGATTGTTGTTTCTTGCTAAAAATCCCCATGAATGTTGCAGATGATCATGTGAAGTTGCAAAGAATGCTATCAAAAGCAACATAACATAGGATTTCTCTGATTAAAATAAAGGCAACGTCAGGCAAAGGCTATGCTTGGGGTGCCCCACCAATGATACATTATATATGGATACCAATTGACTTGAGGGGTCAGATGACCAAAACATGAAAGACGTTTCTGATGTTGATCTTATATACAACGATGTCGTTTGGCTAGGACACATAAACAAATTGTTGTTGACCAAGTGCCAAGTCAGAAGTTTTGTCAACAGGTTGAAGTGTTTTGGTAACAATATACTAGACTCACTTGTTTGATAATGCTACTTCTATAGTGGTTAAATTTGACAACAACAAAAAAAGGAAAAAATTTAGAGTAACTTTTTCTTTTGCCAAACAGATAGAAATTACAAATTCTAAAACATTAATTTCCGTCCTCCAAATGCATTGTAGTCTGTAATAGTTAAAAATTCGAGTCTACATCATTAGCCAAAACAACACAAACTAACCAAGGTTGTTGGTGTGAGTGGTTCGGCACTCTCATTCCTTAAGAGAGGTCAGGGGTTCGATCCTCGCTCTTGTATAGAGTCACCACTTTGGCCAATATTTTACCCCTTACGGGCCAACCCGGTGTGAGCGAGGATTAGTCTGGGTTGTGGTTAAGGCTTAAAGGTGTCACTCATAGTTGGGGCCCATCCAAGAGTCACCACTTTGGCCAACATTTTACCCCTTACGGGCCAACCCGGTGTGAGCGAGGATTAGTCTGGGTTGTGGTTAAGGCTTAAAGGTGTCACTCATAGTTGGGGCCCATCCAGGACCACCTCGTGGTTCAGACCAAAAAAAAAAAAACAACAACACAAACCCAAGAAGGGGCATTAAAATTTCAACGAAAAGTCTCCCTTGAAAAAAGGAAAAAGTTTACTTAGCAAATCCCTAAATTTATGTCAATTTAGATCCATTTGAAATTAAAACGCTAATAAAACGACAAACATTATTGATTTCATTCCTGCATTGCATCATCTTCTGCATGCTGGACCAAGTTTCAACCTTAAGCAGAAGCACTAATAAATTTCCTAGCAAACTCCTCCTGCACATTATCAATCGTAAGCCGAGCACTGGATCCAGATTCAGAATGCTTCTTTTCTATCAGCTAAGTTCCATGCACCACCCACAACCAATACTTCACTGTCTCCACCAGCTTCTTCTCACTACTTGGATGCAGGTAATGAGTGTTGAAATTAATGCACATTTGTGCTAAAGAAATGTGTGGAAAAATCTAGAAGCTTTGAGATGAGCCTAGACTATTGGAGAATTATCTAGAGAAAGCCACACACTTATGGAGTAAAGAGATCAAGTTGGTGGAAGAATCTAGAGTTGTGGAGAAAAGAATAAGGAGGTGGAACAAAAGCAATTGAAGTTTGAAGAACTTTCTAGAACAAGAACATCATGTTGCATGATGGCTAAACAATAGCCACAAAAATAAATATTGTAAAATATAGAAGTTTCTAGTAAAAGCCACATACTTGGTGATGTAGGCAAAGATGCCTATAAATAGGCATGCAACCACAATGAAATGTGGAGTAAACCAATCAACTCCCAATCCATGTTGGAGTCTAAAGAAGCAAACTCCCAAACTAGTAGGGAGCCAAGAGCTACCCAAACCAAGCCATGTTGAGGAGCCAATAAGCTCACCAATCAAAGTGTAAGGGCCAAATAGCCCAAACTAATCTAAGTCAAGTGTGATGGCCAATTAGCCAAAATGCTAAGGAGGCCAATAAGCCAATAAGATATGAAGAAGGCCAATTAGCCTATACCTCACCTATGTACTATTCTCCTCCAATCTAATAAAATCACTTTGTTTCCCCTACAATTCAACAGTCTAACAAGAGCAACTCACATCACACACCTCCTCTAAATTCCAACAATGAGAAATAATATCCCAAGCATTCCTCTGCCTTCATCATGCAACTGTCCTCCAAAATCCATCTTGATAATTTACTAGAATAGTAATCACAAGTATCGGTTAGCATGTATCCTTCAAAGTCCTTTTCGTAAACATCCATTCGTCCCGTTCCAATTTCAACAAATATATCTATCACATTCTTCAATAGTGCTTTGTCATTTTCTCCTCCCTCGCGTACTTTATCAATAAGATGAATTGTAGCTTCTCTCACGTTAGCATTTAGGATTTACCTCCTGGTAAAACAAATCACAGTAGCATTTACCTCCCGGTAAACCAAATCATGTATCCTTAAAAATAGTATAGCCGTCCGGCTATAATCGAAATTTAAAAAAAATAGTATAGCCGCACGGCGTTACTGTTTCTGAAACGTGGCGCCGAGGCGAATCGTATAGCCGAGCGGCTGTACCCGTTTTTCCCTAATTTTTTTTAAAAAATAGTATAGCCGGCAGGCATTATTGTGTTTGACACGTGGTACCTAGGCGCTAGGTGGGTCCTTTTTTAATATATATAAATAGTACAGCCGCGCGGCTATATCCGGTTTTTTATTTTTTTTTAAATCATATAGCCGTGCGGCTATACGTATTTTGACACGTGGGACGGCTAATCGCTGTTCCTCTTTTGTTTTATTTCATAAATAGTACAGCCGCGCTGCTATACCTGATTTTTTAATTGTTTTTTTAAAAATAGTATAGCCGCGCGGCTATACCGGTTTGTTTGGTTTTTAATTTGTTTTAAAAATACGGCTATACTTGTTTTTTCCCTAATTTTTTTAAAAATAGTATACCGAGCGGCCTTTTTTTGACACGTGGTGCCTAGAGCTAGGCGGGTCCCTTTTTTATATATAAATAGTATAGCCGCGCGGCGATACTCAGTTTTTTGTTTTTTGGTTTTTTAATAAATCGTATAGCCGAGCGGCTATACACTTTATATATAGTGTGGGATTCCCTTTTTCTTTTAAAATTTTTCCCCGATTTTAGTTTTGGGGTGCCAAGGAGTCCCTGAAACTCCATTGTTATGCCCACACTAAATTACAAAATCCAAGCATGAAAGGGCTGCTTCCTTCACTAATGAATCCTCAATCTGCAAGAATAAGCGAATTCCCAGCATTACAAAAAACAAACCTGTGCGTGATTGTAATTCAACTAACTGATTGATACAAACAAGATAATGAAAACCTAGGAGTTATTGTGAGAATGTGGGACTCTTTACCTCACATTCTCACACGCCCCCGCACGTGTGGGGAATTTTCAAGCCTAATACGTGGACAACACATATTGGGTGACGTGAAGCACGTGTGGCCGTTGGGCTTTCACACGTGGGCTAACCCGCTCTGATACCATGTAGGAAATTGAGGTTCCCCCCAAAACCAATTGGCAATGGAGGGAGTAGCCCAACTCCTTACACGCCCCCGCACGTGTGGGAAATTATCAAGCGTAAATACTAGCAGATATCCTAAATACTAATAAATAAAACAAATATGGGAAATTCAAGTTCTCAGGTTCTTTTCTTCGGGCTTGCCAAACGGGGCATATGAATTTGTAAATTCCATGAAATCCCATGTCCAAGTCCCTCGTCCAAACAAACCCTTAATGATCAAGCACAACATTCACAACAGCTCAATGTAAATTTGAAAACCCATACAATTACTTTACCACCAAGAAACCACATTATAAGAATCTGACTGACATAAACCAAATCAACACATCTTGCTCTTATTGGCAATTTCATTCCAAGCATTGAAGCCTGTTTCACCCCCAACAACTAGAATTCATCAATTGATTGTTTTGTAGTTTGATTTTCTTCTCTTAATTTCAACATTAACAATGGAGGAAGAAAATGAGCTGTCATCTCTTGGCCGTGCACGTGCTAGTACCAGTGAAAATCATTGCCCACTCCCAGGCCAAGTTTCCACTGCCCTCACTTTGTGTGATCCAACTTGGAATTACAACACAAACCAGAGAAAAGCAGAGGAATTAGACCACCATACTACTTGATCGTAACGAACAGTGCAGAAAAGAGCCAGCTACAAAATGACCCAGAAAATATTAGAACACCATACTACTTGGCATTTGTCAAACTCAAGCTAAAATCCCAGAGTCTGGTTGCCAAATCTGCATCTTTTGCCTGAGAGCTCGGTTTGGCGATGTTACAGTCCACGAAATATTCGCCCCCTACTCCCTTAAGTTGTGGATGGAGTGCCACAAAGCATGTGGTTGCCGCACCCTGCATCACCATGTTCAATGACATAATTAGTTTCATATAATGTGAATGCCCGAAAAAGGATTTTGTATCAAACAAAAGAGAAATATCATCTCTTGTGGAACATAAAGATGTACCTGCTGAACAGTTTTAGAGATAAATATGCCCAGCACCTTAAGAACACCTGTGTCAAGCCAAAGAAAATGTGAGTTGATATGTGGAAAACCAGAGAAATACTGCTGCACTGTCAACAACGTGAAAGGAGATGTATCCATGTGGTACAGCAGATGAAGCTTACACTTTAAAAAGCCATCATAGCGCAAAAGATTTGTGACAATTGTTCCCGGATGGAGAGAATTAGCTGTTACCTCTGCCCCTTCTTCCTGTTTAGTTTTAGTTAACATTCCGAAAATAAGTTACGATGTCAACCAAGAAGGGGAAATCATTGATGACCTTAAGAAACTCAATACCTTCAGACGTCTTGTAAGCTCATTAGCATGCAATATGTTAGCAAGCTTGGATTGTGCATACGCAGAATGCCTGCTGTATCTGTAAATTAGCAAGTAAAAGGGTCAGATTGTTGACATATATTTGTCCAAACAGACACCTCAAAATGTTAAAAACAGGTATGAACATATATAATCTGCATATCCTGCAGAAGATTTACGTGGGTTCATCATTAAGTTTATCAAAACGAATTCCTTCATGGTATCCGTATTGATGGCTCAGAGATGATACGTTCACGATTCTCCCCTCTGTGTTGCTTTCTCGCGATGTGCTTTTCATGGTCTCCAACAAAAGATTTGTGAGAAGAAAATGACCTGCACATTTTATGGTTCAAGAAACAAATAGATTGGTAAAAGAAACTTGTATGAAACTGATCAGTAGGCAGGCTACAGTTCAAAGCAATTTTAAGTAACAAACCTAAATGATTCGTTGCGAACTGGAGTTCTATACTGTCTTGAGAAAGTTTGAATGGTGTCACTCCTACCCCTGCATTGTTACTTCCAACAAAGAAGAGATTGTATTACTTCTTATTGCCATAGTATGAAATAAAGACATATTAGCTTGATCTAATAAAGTAAATATGTAACAAACCACACACAACAAAAAAGAAGGAAATTGGCATTGCTTATCTTACATAAGGATGTTCAATGGAAGGCCTGAGGAACGATAATCTGCTGCAAATTTTCTTACAGATGTGAATGAGGTGAGGTCTAACTCCCTCACATAAATTTTAGCATTGGGGATTTCTTTCAGGATGGCTTCTTTGACGTTCGCCCCGGCATCGATGTTCCTTACTGCCAAAACTACATGGACACCGCGCAATGCAAGAACACGTGCTGTCTCTACACCAATACCACTCGAGGCTCCTGAAATTGAAAAACCTTAACTTGAGAAACACACAGAGGAAGGCTCATTGACATGAAAATTAAGAAACAAAACTGAGAAATGACATCTTATCTCATAGAAGAAAACTTATAGAAGAAGCCATCTTAGTTTCATGTTTTCTTGGTCAACAGCTTAATTTCATTTAGATTTGGAATGATAAATGATCAACCAAGAAACTAAGAAAAGTACTTGAATATAAAAATTAAAAATACAAAACCCATTGGAACTCAGTATGTTTATATCACCGATCTTCTAAATCATTTTCCCATTTTTACATGAGAAAATCCTTTATCAGATTTATGAAAAAAAAAAATTCATATATGAAGCTTAAAACATAGAGCATGATGACCTGTAACAATTGCAGTAAGACCAGTTCCATCAATCCCTTCAGTAACTTCCTCTGCTGTTGAAGAGGCAGAGAACCCAGATTGTTGTTTCTTGCTAAAAATCCCCATGAATGTTGCAGATGATCGTGTGAAGTTACAAACAATGCTAACAAAAGCAACATAACATAGGATTTCTCTGATTAAAATATAGGCAATGTGAGGAAAAAGGCTATTCTTGGGGTGCCCCACCAACGATACATTATATATACCAATTGACTTGAGGGGATCAGATGACCAAAACATGAAAGACTTTTGGGATTATAGCAAGTAATGACGTTTCTGATGTTAGTCTTATATACAACGATGTCGTTTGGCTAGGACACATAAACACATTGTTGTTGACCAAGTGCCAAGTCAGAAGTTTTGTCAACAGGCTGTATTGGTAACAATAATACTAGACTCACTTGTTTGATAATACTACTTCTATGGTGGTTAAATTTGACAACAAAAAAAAGGAAAAAATTTAGAGTAACTTTTTTTTTTTGCCAAATAGATAGAAATTAAAAATTCTAAGACATTGATTTCCGTCCTCATCCAAATGCACTATAATAGCTAAAAAGTCGAGTCTACGTCATTAGCCAAAACAACACAAACCCAAGAAGGGGAATTAACATCCCAACGAAAAGTTGCACTTAAAAAAAGGAAAAAGTTTACTTAACAAATCCCTAAAGTCATGTCAATTTAGATCCATTTGAAATTAAAACACTAATAAAACGACAGACATTATTGATTTCATTCCTGCATTGCATCATCGTCTGCCTGCTGGACCAAGTTTCAATCTTAAGCAGAAGCACTAATAAATTTCATAACGAACAGTGCAGAAAAGAGCCAGCTACAACATGACCCAGAAAATATTAGAACACCATACTACTTGGCATTTGTCAAACTCAAGCTAAAATCCCAGAGTCTGGTTGCCAAATCTGCATCTTTTGCCTGAGAGCTCGGTTTGGCGATGTTACAGTCCACAAAGTATTCGCCGCCTACTCCCTTAAGCTGTGGATGGAGTGCCACAAAGCATGTGGTTGCCGCACCCTGCATGACCATGTTCAATGACATAATTAGTTTCATATAATGTGAATGCCCAAAAAAGATTTTGTATCAAACAAAAGAGAAATATCATCCCTTGTGGAACATAAAGATGTACCTGCTGAACAGTTTTAGAGATAAATATGCTCAGAACCTTAAGAATACCTGTGTCAAGCCAAAGAAAATGTGAGTTGATCAGTGGAAAACCAGAGAATACTGCTGCACTGTCAACAACATGAAAGGAGATGTATCCATGTGGTACAGCAGATGAAGCTTACACTTTAAAAAGCCATCATAGCGCATAAGATTCGTGAGAATTGTTCCCGGATGGAGAGAATTAGCTGTTACCTCTGCCCCTTCTTCCTGTTTAGTTAACGTTCCGAAAATAAGTTACGATGTCAACCAAGAAAGGGAAACCATTGATGACCTTAAGAAACTCAATACCTTCAGACGTCTTGTAAGCTCATTAGCATGCAATATGTTAGCAAGCTTGGACTGTCCATAAGCATAATATCTGTGGTATCTGTATAGCAAGTCAAAACGGCAGATTGTTTATCATGTATTTATATACACAACCACCTCATTAGCCTAAAGACGATTCTTCAAAAGGGTGCTGCCACAGTTTTACCTTGATTCATCATTAATTTTATCAAAACAAAACCCTTCACGGTACCCGTATCGATGGCCTAGTGATGATACATTAACAATTCTCCCCTCTCCTTTCCTTTCTCGCGATGTGCTTTTCATGGTCTCCAACAAAAGATCTGTGAGGAGAAAATGACCTGCACATTGGATGGTTCGAGTAAAAGTTAATAAGTCGACAAAAGCGACTCGTAGAAAACTGAATCCATTGGACTACAGGACAGACTTCAAAGAAAATTTTAGGCAGACACACCTAAGTGGTTAGTTGCAAAATGGAGCTCTATGTTGTCTTGAGAAAGCTTGAATGGAGTTGCCATAATGCCTGCATTGTTACTTCCAACAAAGAAGAGAGTGCAATACTACAAATGAGTGCGTGTATGGAGCTGAGAGAGCTGTCATTTTCTTAATTTCCATGAGAAAACCATAAGCACATACAACCCAAGAAAGAAGGAAATTTAAGAATTTGCTTATCTTACATAAGTATGTTCAATGGAAGGTCCAAGTATTTAAAATCTGCTGCAAATTTTCTTACAGATGCCAATGAGCTGAGGTCTAACTCCATGACATCAATTTTACCCTCTGGGATTTCTTTAAGAATGGCTTCTTTGACGTTCGTCCCAGCATCCTGGTTCCTTACTGCCATAACTACATGGACACCACGCAACGCAAGAACACGTGATGTCTCTACGCCAATACCACTTGCAGCTCCTGAAATTAAACAAAGTTTATGATAAAAAATAAAAAATTTACAACCTTACTTTGGAAGACACAGAGAAAGACTCATTGACATGTGAGATGTCAAATAGGCTGGAGAGCAGCTAAGACTATATTGTTATATGTGTCCTATAGGAAGCTTAAAATAGAGCATGACCTGTAACAATGGCAGTAAGACCAGTTCCATCAACCCCTTCAGTAACTTCCTCTGCTGTGGAAGAAGCAGAGAACCCTGATGCTCCTTTCTTGCTAAATATCCCACCCATTAATTTTGCAGATAATGAAGTTACAAGTTACAGCACAGAGACCTTCTATCAAATGCAATTTGAATACATTGCTCCAAATGTTAATAATAATATTATTCTATAAGAGGCATACAATACATGACAGTCTTGATTGCTGCTGGTCCTGTCTTACATGGCAACATTTCTGGGAATTGTAATTAGCAATAATGCTTGTGATGTTGCTTCTCTAATTTACAACACACACCAAAATCAGAGGAAAAGACAAAGCAATGGCTCTTTTAAAATGAACCCAGTTGTGATTTGTAATCACAATGACGTTTGTGATGTTGCTCTTATATGCATATATGTGGAACAGAGTCCTTTGGATTGAAGTGCTTTGGAAATAGCTGATAAACCATATACATTCATGACAAATATAAGAACCATAACCCAGTTTTTCATTATAGAAAAATAGAAAAAAAAAGTTCATAATTTTAGGAAGGGCCAAGGATAAGTCCCCAGCCATAACCTATATATGTTTTACATGGTCATTCAACGTCTTAGCTTCTACTCAAAGTCTCAAACTGGTAAAAGGGACATTGACATTGACTTGCAATTTACAACAGAGTTTTGTTCCCAGTTACTTTGAATCCGTCAGGCTCAAACTGAAATCCCATAGCTTCTTTGCCAGTTCTGGATCTTTAGCCTGAGAGGTTGGATTGGCTTTGTTGCTGTCCATAAAATATTCGCCGCTGACACCCTTAACTTGCGGATGCAATGCCACGTAGCATTCAGTTGCTGCTCCCTGCAGTTATGTGAAGTATATTAAAAAGACAACTAACATGCAGTGAAGCTGCTTGAGCATATCTTAATAGGATTGGGAGATAGACATCAAAACATGAGTTTGCTGAGTGTATCAGATTAGTAACATACCTGCTGAACATTTTTAAGCATCAATCTACCGAGCGTGCTGGCAATGACTGCATTAAACCAAAACAATAAATATCAAGACACGAATCCACACAAATACAGGAAATGGTGAAATTTAAAAAAAGGAATGGGCAAGGCGAGAGGGTTGTAGAAGATTGGTAGCGTAGAAGAACGAATATTTGTCAATGGTTCAAAAGTTTACCATTAATATGACTGTGGTAGCGTAGAAGAACGAATATTTGTCAATGGTTCAAAAGTTTACCATTAATATAACTGTGGTAGCGTAGAAGATTGGTAGCAATTGATCCAGGATGAAGGGAATTAGCAGTTATAGCAACTCCTTCTTCCTGTTAAACAAGACAGGGATTTAAAAGATTATTGAAAAAAAAAAATTGGAACACAAACAAAAGATTAGAATTTCCTATCCATGATGGCATGGCTTTGGAAGTACGGACTGCTTAAGAGTGTTGAAAACACCAATGATGTAAAAGCTACACTCTATGCCCTACTGCTCTTTTCAACTGTTTCTCTTTTCAAGATAGTAAGAATAACCATATGGAATATTTGCTACTACAATGAACATTTGAGACAAAATTATGTAAGCATCTCTGGAAAAAAGAAAATACTTGCACACTGAAATTAGGCTGTCACTCTTTTCTCTTCTATTGACCAAAAGAAACATGAACAAAGCCCAGGGTCCCGCACATGCTAAAGCATTTAATTCACATTTATCTCAGGAACTTAACAAATTAATGCTAACCAAAAGTCTTATCTACGCTGTTATTTAAGGGTTCCATATTCTAGGAGCCCAAACTATAGGACTGAATAAGTCTTCCTCTATCCGTTGCAGGTCGAGAACTCCTTACGATTGACCAAGAAAAAATATAATCAGATAAATGATTTATATCATCAAATTCACTGGCGATCATTTTTATGATCCTATATGAGTTGATACCTTCAAGCGCTTTGTGAGCTCATTAGCATGCAATATGTTGGCTAGCTTTGATTGTCCATAAGCGTATATACTGTTGTATCTGTGAATTTTCAAGTAACAAAATATAAGTAAAGAGTTCAGACCAAAAAAAATATATATAAGTAAAGAGAAGTATTGCTTGACGAAATTTGATACATTGCAAACCACAAAACCATATATTATTGCATTATTGCAGCAGCGCATAGTGACAAAATTCATAAAACTATTACCCTGATTCATCATTAATCTTATCAAATCGAATCCCCTCACTATATGCAAATCGGTGAGCCTCTGATGATAAGTTCACGATTCTTCCCTCTTTTTTGCTCTCCCTTGTTGTCTTCTTCATGGTCTCCAATAGAAGGTTGGTCAAAAGAAAATGGCCTGTAAAAGAATGGTAAGAACTCTTAAGATTCCAATTCTATAGAGACCATATAACAGGCCATTTCATATTCTCAAGAGAAACATCAAAAGAATTTCATGTTTTAAATACCTAAATGGTTGGTTGCAAACTGCATTTCAATGTTGTCTTGGGAAAGCATGAAAGGAGTTGCCATAACACCTGCATTATTACTTCAAACAAACAGAGAGGATAAATTATAACTCCGTAATGTTAATAATAATACCAATAGGAGAACATTGTACTAAAATATGAACTTATTGTTTTTCCTTCTTTCTTTTCCCACTCTTGGGACCAAACACCATTCCAAAATGAAGAATGAAGCAGCAATAACAACCATTGTCACAATGATATCATATAACACAGTGTGCAAGCACATGTAACCACTGATGCATTTGCGACAAGAGACGAGAGATTCAAATGAGCACAAGCAAATGTGACATAAACAATTACAATGGTCCAATTCAGATGTCTTACATCAGGATATTCAATGGAAGACCAGAGGAGTTATATTCCGATGCAAATTTCCTTACTGATGCCATTGAGCTGAGATCTAGTTCCATGACATCGATGTTGGCAGTGGGGATTTCCTTACGTATTGCCGTTCTCACATCCCTACCAGCCTCTGTATTTCTTACTGCCATGATGACATGAACACCACGCAAGGCTAGAACACGTGTTGTCTCCAGACCAAGACCACTTGATGCTCCTGGAATTAAATAAGTATAAGAACTGAAAAAAGGCCAAATCTGCAGATTTCACCAATTGTCAAGCAAAAAAGCAATTTAAAATTTCAATGGCAGGATTTTCAGATTAATGATTTTTGTAATTGTGGCAATAAGTCCACAGGAAAACTCTGAACTAGATTTCATAGCATAACGATCCTAAAGAATTCTAAAAAACTAAAAAAAGATTTAAACTAGACCAAAACTTTGATCAACTCCATTTACTCCATTTTTAACATCAAGTCAACTAATCCTAAACTAGCCAGCTTCAATTAGAAAATCAACCAACCAATTAAACACTAAACAACTACCCATGAAAGAAAACAAGAAGTAGAAACGATCGTACACACCCAACTTCAGATGGGTTGCCAAAAGAAACTCCATTTGGTTGCTCAATTATTAGTTTAACATAAAAAAACAACTAAAACAACACTCTTTCTTCTTTTCCCTATAATTGTCTCAGCAAACAAACATATGACACAATTAGAAATTATAGGAACTGACCAACAAAAGAAAAAAGCACACACGGCAATACAGAAACAAAGAACAAAACTACCCAGATGAAAAAGAAGAAGAATTTAGCATAACAAGACCTGTAACAATTGCCGTGAGACCAGTTCCATCAATTCCTTGAGTAACTTCCTCAGCTGTAGAGCGGGCTGAGAATCCAGATTGCCCTTTCCATCCAAATATCCACATTTTTCAAGATTGTTGATCAGACTCTGCAAATCCAAAATATAAACAGCATTTCACAGAGCTGCATTTCCAAAACCCAACATGTGATGTGATGTGGGGTTTAATTTAAATCACAAAACTAATACAATTAGCGATCGACCCCCACTAGCGTGATAGCCGTTCGATATGCGTGTATGATTAGGATTTGATAAGATGGTTATGCATTGATGTTTTGGTAAAAAGTTAGGGATTTACTAAAGGGGGTTTCACTAAAACACCCAAAATGGGGGCTGAAATTATAAAAAAACCCAACACCCAAAACACTTTATAAACACACCCAAAATCCATCATTACATACACTCAAAACCCATTTATAAACACACCCAAAAAATATACAATTGTTGATTTTGGGGTTGATTTTGGGTGTGTTTCTATGTTTAAATAGTGTGTGGGTTTTTTTATAAATACATGCCTAGGATTGGGTTTATTTATAATAATCTATTTACTAAAAGTGAAAAGAAAAATATTAAAACAAACTGCTTTGACAATTAAAAAGAGCGACCACATGTCACGTTGAGCCACAATAAAATGTAAGGAGGGAAGTATTGTCCTTTTTTTTTATAACCATTTTAAGAAATATTACACTTCTCTAATTGAAAAACAGATTTTTACCTACCAAGTTGAATAATATATGAAACAGTCTTGCAATAGATTTGTGCATATTCTTTTTCCTTTTCTTGAATTGCCTCCACCAAAATTGCTCCAATTTTTATATTCCAGTTTAGTTTTATGAACGAATTTAATGCTTCAAGGCACTCGTAATAATGCTATCTTTCAGACTTTATTTACCTCACTACGTATATGAATCTATATAGCCCTTTTATATAGTCATATGTGCTCTCCAAAATGATATAATAACTCTTCAATTGGATCTAACGACAACTCTTCAATGACCCTATTTAATTTAGATTATTTTTTTATACAATTGCGATTTCATGTCTTTTATCTCTTGAAATATGATGAAAAGTCACAAACAATAATGACCCAAAAAAAAAGTCACAAACAATTTAGCCAAAATACATTTCTCTGGAAGAGCCGAAGACACTTGCTTGATCAAGGTATGCTCAAACTTAAAATCAAATCATCAGAAGAACGTAGAATGCACAAGGCACATCAGCATATAAACTAACCCACAAAAGAATTCTCCATTCAAAACATGTCACAAAAACTTTGAATACATCATAAGTACTAGTACTGCATGCTTAATTTACACACATTTTTCTCAAGACCAGCACCAAGAAAAAGGAGGAGAAGAAGACACAGAGGGTGCAGAGATGGGCGACCACTAGAGTGGGAAGAAAATTAGCCCCTGGACTTGAAAGGAATGGCCCTGATGACTATCTGGTGGTAGATAGCAGCAAGAGCAGCACCAATGAATGGCCCCACCCAGAAGATCCACTGTAAACAGAAACATGGTACCATAAATCTCATATTCTCATTAAACAATTAAAAGTTCAAAGAAAAATGTTTAATTAGTATTAGTTAATTCGCTTACATGGTCATCCCAAGCCTGGTCCTTGTTGAAGACAATGGCAGCTCCAAGACTCCTGGCAGGGTTGATGCCAGTTCCAGTGATGGGGATGGTGGCCAAGTGAACCAAGAAAACTGCAAACCCAATGGGAAGAGGAGCCAAAATCTGCATACACATATACATTCTAAGTTAAAACACAGTCCAAATAATGACCTTTCTGATTCATTGAGCTTCAAAGCATAGTGCTAAGTTTGACTTAGGATATAACAAATGTTTGAAGATGATCATTTGGTTGAGGTAATGTAGAGCAGAAAGAACCATGGAGAGACCAAACAAATTAGATAAGCAAGCCCATAAATGATCTCTTGTTGGTAGGGACTAGTGAGTCTTACTCTTAAATGGTGGATAACATTTTGCCTTAAAAAGGGAGGAGGCATCTTTGTCCTGGAGGTATAATTAAGTCCCCACTTTCACATTTACATGCATATTTGATCCACCAAACACACCAGTGGGTCTCACATGTATAAGACCCACTGGGCACGACAGAACTTTTTCCACCTTAAAGGCACCCACACCAATGACACAACCAAACAAAAGCAACATGCAAGTGTCATTATTTTCCAGCATTCACAAAACAAGGACTAGAGAAGTGATAATTCTATAGTCCCCCCCTTTAAGCCATTTGGGAAGCTTTAATGGTAACAAATAACCAATTAAATATTGGTTGAGCAAAGAATAGAAAACTAGAAGATCAGCCAACAATTTCTTCCACAGAGACTATAAATTAACCAAAAACATTCAGCAGCAGCTCAAAGAACTAAACCAGAAACCAATTTATAAACAGCCCATGAAAAATAAACCAGCTTTGGAGCACTCAATCATATCTAAACCCATTCAATGGACACATGAGTGTCAAAATAGCAAAACAATTAAACAATCAGAGGCTGCAAAAGTATATAACAGAGATAATAATAAAGAATACTTACAGGGACATGAGAGTCTCTGGCATTCCTCTTGGCATCAGTGGCAGAGAAGACAGTGTAAACAAGGACAAAAGTGCCAACAATCTCAGCCCCAAGGCCATCACCCTTGGTGTAGCCATGGTTAACAACATTGGCTCCACCTCCCAAAAGCTCATATTGGTTCTTTTGGAAGCCCTTCACAACACCTGCACCAGCAATAGCACCAAGGGTCTGCATGACTATGTAGAAAACAGCTCTTGTAAGGGAGAGTTTCCTTGCCAGGAAGAGACCAAAGGTCACAGCTGGGTTGATGTGTCCACCTGTTACATGCAAGCACAGAGATCTGGTTACAAAAGAATTTTATCACAAAAATGTAACCATGAAAGGAAGCCAATTATAGTTTAAAACAGAAGAACAAATTTTAAGAGGAAAAATCAAAGATGACAAGGAAAGCCCACATCAAAGATAGTTGAAACACCCACAAAAGTCTACCCAAAATATTTTTAAAAATCACTAAAAATAAATTCTGAAGAAACCCATGAAATATACAACAAGAAAAAGTGTTTTTTTTTCTTTCAGTGGAAGTTATCAACTTTAAATAAAGACTTGAAAGATGAAGAGATGGAAAGGGAGGAGAAGCTAACCTGAGATACCAGCAGTGGAGTAGACAAGGGCAAATATGGTACCACCAAAAGCCCAAGCAATTCCTTGGATGCCAACAGAGGCACACTTGGTAGGAGCCCTCTTCACACCCATCACAGTCAAGATAGTGATGTAGAGGAACAAGAAGGTGGCAATGAACTCAGCAATTCCAGCTCTGTAGAAAGACCATGAAGTGAGCTCACCAGGCTCAAACAAAGGAGCTGGTGGAGGCTCCTTGTAGTCCTTGTCTGTCTGAGCTGATGTCCCAATAGGCTGCCTCTCTTGGAACTTGTTAGCTCCAAGTCTAACATCTTCTTCCTTGCCCTCCATAGTCTCTCACTAACCAGCTTTCTCTAGCTCTCTCTCTCTCTGTTTGAAAAGCAAACCAAAGTTGCTCTCTTTACACACTCAAAGCAAGGGTTTTGTGAGTTTCTGCAATGCAAGAGAGGCTAAGATAAGGGGAACTTTTATAGCTGAGGTGTCTGTCAGTCTATTATTTGCCAAATGAAATAGTCCTTGTCTGTCTGAGCTGATGTCCCAATAGGCTGCCTCTCTTGGAACTTGTTAGCTCCAAGTCTAACATCTTCTTCCTTACCCTCCATAGTCTCACACTAACCAGCTTTCTCTAGCTCTTTCTCTCTCTGTTTGAAAAGCAAACCAAAGTTGCTCTCTTTACACACTCAAAGCAAGGGTTTTGTGAGTTTCTGCAATGCAAGAGAGGCTAAGATAAGGGGAACTTTTATAGCTGAGGTGTCTGTCAGTCTATTATTTGCCAAATGAAATAATAGATATTTATAAATAAACCCAATCCTAGACATGTATTTATAAAAAAACCCAAACACTATTTAAACATAGAAACACACCCAAAATCAACCCCACAATCAACAATTGTATATTTTTTGGGTGTGTTTATAAATGGGTTTTGAGTGTGTGTAATAATGGATTTTGGGTGTGTTTATTGGGTGTTGGGTTTTTTTATAATTTCAACCCCCATTTTGGGTGTTTTAGTGAAACTCCCGTGAAATAATGGGTTGTCTTTCTTTTTAATTTATTTTCAATTAAGTATTTGTTATAAATAAAATAAAAATAAAAACTTTTTTATGTGGTAGTCCCTAAACAAAGGTCATTACTTTGTAAGCAAATGTTTATAATGATATTAAGGAGAAGGTATTAGAGTTTTGGGGATGGTTCTGGAAAGGTCAGAATTTGCAGAAGCATGCTGACATTTTCTGGTTCATTTGTTTTTGTTGTTCTTATCCTCTACAGAAATTGTTCTTATTTTTTTGTTTGTGTGCTTTTTCGAATTTGTAAAGCTTTTGGTTAGCTGTTCTGGTATGTTCATCTGATTCATACACCTAAGCACCTAACCGAAATTAAAGATTGTGCACATGGAATTTGATTTTTAAAATGTTGTGGTCCAATTTTCTCATCATCATTAAACAACTCTCTACTTTTTCTTTTCTTTCTTCTTTTTGGGGTTTGGAGGAGAGTGGTCCTTTATCTCTCTCTATTGCCAAGTTTAGGGCTTCATGCAAAATTCAAGTGGGGAGAAAAATTTAAGTGGGCGTCATGTCACAAAGTTATCTTCAATTAATTACATTACGTTGTGCAATGCGTTATAAGAATTCCACATAACATAATATGATTTTATGAGAATAGTAAAACAGTGTTATTCCCGTGACATGTAATTTCTTTTCTTAAATTAGAGTGTTTTTGTGGTAAATGTTGTATGCGTTGCATATTGCAAGATGTACAAGAGTGGATTAATGAAGAGGAAAGAGCTTATAAATAGTCATCAAAACTGAACCCAAAAGTGATTTTTCCAATTACTGAATTTCATGAGGGTGAAAAGCTTATAATTACTGTTTGGTTCAGTCATTTACGGAGTCTTTTTTCACTTTCAAGTTCTTGACTTTTAATGGTGAGTTGTTGTGAGTTTCTCAACGGCACGAAAACCAGAGCCACAGAAGATTAGAGTACAACGGG